TATCCTGGACTGTGATGGATTATTGCCAACATTTCAGGAACTCTTGTCTTAAATTTGACTTTCAGATAAATGGTTCTAATAAACCGGATAAACTGTTTTTTTTCTTTGTATATTGTGTATTTATCCAGTTTATTTTACTATAACTACTTATGTTGCATACAACTGCACCTTGTGTATAATCTTTGCACTACTTTAAGTCATTACATATTTATATATACTCGGCAAAGTGCAATATCAAGAAGTTGACCATCCGATGTGTAGTGTAACTGAAGGATTAGGAGGACCCAGTGTTTGATCAGTGAAGATTGTTAAAATAACATCTAAACATCTTCAGTCCTGACTGTCTGAATGAGGGATCAGTAAGAAATTAATTAATTAATAAATAATTGTCCTGTTTTTTTTTTTTTTTTAAATCAGTGTTTTGTCTTTATTTACGTAGTTTGAGGGGGCCAGGTGTGGCCACCTGATTTATGTACAATGACAAACTGATCTGATGATGGTTCAAGAATTCATGTAAAATGGAAACTGTGTTCAAAGTCAGTTTGTTTCTGTGAGTTCCTGTACAGACTGAGGGCTGCTGGAAACTGCCCGTCTTGACTGTAAAAAAAAAATTGACTGCTTTTAACTCCACCTACTACTGCTGCCGCCTGCTCTGGTTCACTTTCCAGGTGAGACACAATTCACCTCAAACAAGCTTATTAACTTCATTATGTACTACAGAATGGTTTGGCAAAGTGAGACTAACTCCGTGGTGAAAAAGTGTCCATTTTCAACTGAGGGACAATGTTTAATTGTTGTCTATCCTGTGTCTGAATGACATGGAGACTGTGACCACTGCATTCCTCAAGGCTAGATTTCTGTCACTCTCTGTACTTAAATATATATATATGTTTATATATTTTATTGGTCAGTCTTCTCTGTGTTGTCTGCAGATGCTGCAAGACTCAGGCACAAATGAAATGCATGCCTGTTAAAGACAAAATTGAATTTAAGGTTGTTTAATAATGTATTTATAAAACCAGATGTGGTTTGGCTCCTCCTGGGTATGTTTCAGAACACCTCTGTTCTTACTTTTCCTCCAGGCCTCGTCCATCCTCAGAACAGCTGGCTGCTGGATAGAGCAGACCAAACCTCTGCAGTAGCAGATCCACAGTTTTTGAATGGCCTCTCTGAATAAAGTGTTCGTCCTCCACCGACAATTTCACAAAAAATCTTGTAGGCGTTTTACAAAAAAAGACATCGATGTTTTAAATGGCTTTGAGTGCTCTTAATGGTCTTTATATTTTAGTATTTTAGATTTACTTGAAATTGATCTTACAAGCTGCGGCCCTGTTTTGTCTTGTTCTTGAAGTTTATACTATTTCATTGCAGGTAAAATTGATTTTACAAGTTCTCTTCCTGCCTTGCTTTTCACACATTTTTTGTTGCTGCTGCCTGATAACATGTACAGGACTCTGGTCAACTCAGGTTGTTTTAAATGGGTTGTATAAATAAACTTGACTTGATATCCAGCTAAAAATAACTTTGTCATCACTGGAAGAGTGTCACTTACTTCACGTTCGTGTACGTAGCAAGTAGTTAGCTTAGTAACAGCAACACAGTCAGTATTCCTGCCAATATGGCGATGTTTTGATTTGGATTATGTGATATCAACTACCAGATCTCTAGGATGTTTATTCAGTGAACATCTAGGGCTGTTTGGGAATGGTGATGGTTAAATGCTACTAAAAATACAAACACTAACCAAACGACAATATTAGATACTTTGTCAAAAACTATCATTATATGAAGCAAGCCACAAAACATGCTGTGAACAAAGAGGGTTTTTAGTTTCAGGGCAGGTCCAACTGTCAGTAAGATTTTAAATGAAGTTGTTTTACTTGTAGAACTGAATTTGGGAGTTTACACACACTCTTGCTGAAAGCGTCTTTAAGCCTGTTTTTGAAGCCAGATAACCACAACCAAACATCATGAGAAGCATCTATAAACTCGATGAATCACCTTGGCTCCGTCGGCACTACAACACAAGGCCAAAGGATGTGCGGCATCAAAACGGCAAAACTCAAAGAGGGTAAAACATTTACCTATTCAAAGACACCAATTTACTGGCAAACTCCTGAATACTGCACGCAGAGGGAAGAGTTCACGGCTCTGCTTTGAACTTCACAGGAAGAAAAAAAAAAAATCTGGTTCCGTCTTTGTAATTTTCATCAAACGATCTTCCTTCACACCGTCCGCCACCAGGCCACAGCTGCCGGGAAATCAAATACACTTTTTCTCACCTGAGGAGCAATCCTCACTTAGAGCAGCATTCAGAACGCTGCTGGTAAAATGCACACATTGGGTGGCTTTATTCAGTCACCAGTTATACAAGAATGCTCGGGGAAATTGCTCTGACACAGTAATGACCCGTGATATTCAGATGTGCTCTGAGAGAGTCGACAGACTTAATTTCACACAATGACAAGAACTGTAATTACCTTCCAATTTAAGAGTGAAAAACAGTCCAAAGGTTATTTCATGCACTTGACAAAAGCCAAAACAAGTCCATGATCATTCAGGGGTCATGCAAATATTTGATTCGATCTATTGTGAGAGCAACCTTTGACCTCCTTCATACTGGCTCCTAGTTATACCAAAGTAAAGAAGCAGTTCTTCACTTAGTCTAAGTAGTTTAGCCTCAAATTAAATGCTAGAAAATGTATGGTAACTTATGAATAAGGGTTCAAGTTCAATCACACTCCCTGATTTGATTTCTTCTCTGTCCATACTGAATAAATACATTTGCTCTCTTAAAAAGTCTTACCTTATGATCTAAAAAGTCACCAGACTGTCACAAACACCATGTCTTTTCAGAAAACTTCTGTACAACTGAATATAATGTTAAACATTCAAGGAGTGGTACAAAGACACAACCAGAAGCCTCCAAGAAGCTTGTTAAAAAAAAAAAGGCCAAAGGACATTTACCCAAATATTAAAATTACTGTACTTATATTTTTGACCCAGCAGATTTTTTAATATTTCCAGAAGACCTACATGAATCTATGAAACAACCAACATGCATAATTGTCTTCTGTGACAAAGATGGATGTGTTTCAATGATTCCATTTAAGAAAATGAACAGTGGTAGGAGTCACCAGAAACTCAATACTGCTATGATGTACATGGTGTTTACAAATGTATGGAAACTTTTTCTTTTTCTTATGCAACAAACATGACAAACATCCAGATCTTTTCTTTCTTGTTCAACATCTATCCACCGATGAGTTCATTAGTAATTCAACCAAGAGTAATGGGTGTGGAGCTCCGAGAGCAGAGCTGTGTATATACTGTAGCTATGATGTCGTGTGTTGTTGATGATTCGCACAGTAAAGTGTAGACTCTGATTGCACCTCTCCTGTTTTCCTTTGAATACATTAATAAAGTGAAGACAACAAATTTCGAAATAAGCAATTATTTTCCCTTAATTTTGAAACATGTTCAATGTGTGCAGATGCGTCTTCAATCCAGTTTGTGCCACCTACAGTGGATTTGCATCTATTCCTGTTTGGGTCTTGACTCTGACAGTAATTGCGCCTTTTCTAAAATTTACTGCTCTCACAGAATACAACATACAGTGGTAACCTCTTGTTGTCATCTTCTCTAACTCTATTATTTTCTCCTCAATGCACAAAAATTGTTTCTGTAATGATATTCATGCAGGTCAGTTTGCCGCTTGTGCGTTAACGTTAAAATTACTGCATAACATTTTCTGATTTTCTCCTCCTCAGCTCAGCGGAGTCTTTATTTGGGTGTCTGGGAGGCGAGTTTCCTCAGAGCAGCTAATAAGCTGCCTGCTGGTTGCCTCGCAAGCTGCATTAACTGTCGTGGAAATTGAGAACGAATATGCTCCTTAATTGAGCTGATTAGAGAACGAGCGTGAAAACAGATGGAGGGAATATGTGAGGGAGGGAGGGATGGGTCTGCATTAGTCCTGTACAATCTACATGATGACTCAGTCCACAGCATAAAAGATGGCACCATCGTGGTAAAACATCTGTCGGAGGCTGTAGGAAAGAGAGCTGACTCTGGCCTTTGACAGTAGAGTTTCTGGTCAAGTCTACTTTACTGTCCAAATGAGCCCCCAGTTATTTGTACTCCTGGACTATTTCCACCACCTCTCCTTTATTAGAAAGAGGAGCAGTAGAAGTCCTTGATCTCCTGAAGTCCAGCAGCAGCAGCTTTGTTATGGTGATCTTGAGCTACCGATGGTGCCCCACCATTTGGTGGTCTGACACATCCTCCCCCTGATGCATCCAAAAACTGCAGTTATTGGAGTACTTCTGTAGGTGGCAGTGCCTGTGTTAAATTCACAGTGTACAGGTTAAAGCAGGGGTGGGTAATCCTGGTCCTCCAGGGCCACAGTCCTGCATGTTTTAGATGTTTCTCTCTTCCAACACACCTGATTCAAATGATCAGCTCATCATCAAGCTCTGCAGAAGCCCGATAACGATCCTGATC